GGGTTGAATTGTCTTCGGTTCTTCAGCTCCACACCCCCCACTCCCCCACCTTTCCCCAGGCGGGAAGCCCCGTCTCGACTCTGCCCCACACGCCCTAACATGTTCTGGCCCTCAGCCCCAGGGATCCATGACACACACACATCATGTGAGTCTCCCACCCCCGCACACGTTCACACTGGCCAGACACCTTTCTGGGGGAGTGCAAAAATGCTCACCACCCCCTGACAACCCTTGATTTGTCCACCATGTTCCCTACAGCCATACAGCCTGAACCTGCAGGTGACCTCAGTCCTGTCCCGGCTCGCTCTCTTCCCCCACCCCCTTATTCATGAGTACCTCCTGGACCCCTACATCAACCTGGCCCCTGGCTGCAGGAGCCTGTTCTCTGTGCTTGTCCGGGTAAGGATGCCTGGGAGTACGTCAGTGGTGGGTGGGAAGGGAGGGGAACAGGACAGGGACTTGGTGCCTGCAGACGTATGGACCCTCGCCAGTGCCAGGGGAAAGCACAGGTACCACCCCCCCCATGGTGCAGCAGAGCCATGGGACCTCGCTTGAGTGTCCCTGGTCCCCACCTCAGTCCTCTCTTATTCCTGCTCCAGGTAATCGGGGACTTGATGCAGAGAATTCAGAGGGTACCCCAGTTCCCAGGCAAACTGCTCCTGGTGCGCAAGCAGCTGATGGGTCATACTCCTGGGGAGCAGTAAGTAACCGAGAGAAGTTCATGCCTGGGGAAGAGCCTTAGGTGGGAGGGCAGAGTGCTTCAGGGTGGGGAGGTGCCAGGCCTTGGTGCAGAGGGCCTGTTGTTGAGCTCTATCCTCACTCAGAGGTGTCTGCCACTGGGTTATGCACTGGGATGTCACACTGGGGGCANGGCAAGCTGGGCACCAGTGGGGCTCCTCCGTACCAAGGGTCCTGTCTTTCAGCTTCCTCTGCCTGGTTCCTGAGGAAGCCAAGACTTCAGCCTTCCTGGAGGATACTGGATATGACACTTATGTCCACGATGCTTATGGACTGGTGAGTGTTGAGGCCCCTGCCACACCCACTTCTCGACCCTCAAAGCTGTGGGGTTAATAATTCTGCCTTCTCCCTCTGTGAGTTCTGCCCAAGGCACTCCCATCTCTAGCCAAGAGCCCTGAGCCCACTTTCCTGTGTTGTGTGGCCCCTCTATGTGCTGGGTCTCCTGGCCATGGGCCTCCTCTCAACTCACCCTCCTGTTCCAGTTCCAGGAGTGCAGCTCCCGAGTCGCCCCCTGGGGCTGGCCCCTGGCTCTCACACCTCTGACCCCCCAGGAGCCTGAGCGGCCTTTCTTTGAGGGGCACTTCCTCCGAATGCTGTTTGACCGCATGTCCCGGATTTTGGAACAGGTAGCCAACAGGACTGGGCCCCAACCAGAGGGCAGGGGCTCATGGGAGCACCCCAGGAGGGTGCCTCTGGAGTCCTTTGGGAGAGCAGGGCCTGACCACGGGGTTGAATTGTCTTCGGTTCTTCAGCTCCACACCCCCCACTCCCCCACCTTTCCCCAGGCGGGAAGCCCCGTCTCGACTCTGCCCCACACGCCCTAACATGTTCTGGCCCTCAGCCCCAGGGATCCATGACACACACACATCATGTGAGTCTCCCACCCCCGCACACGTTCACACTGGCCAGACACCTTTCTGGGGGAGTGCAAAAATGCTCACCACCCCCTGACAACCCTTGATTTGTCCACCATGTTCCCTACAGCCATACAGCCTGAACCTGCAGGTGACCTCAGTCCTGTCCCGGCTCGCTCTCTTCCCCCACCCCCTTATTCATGAGTACCTCCTGGACCCCTACATCAACCTGGCCCCTGGCTGCAGGAGCCTGTTCTCTGTGCTTGTCCGGGTAAGGATGCCTGGGAGTACGTCAGTGGTGGGTGGGAAGGGAGGGGAACAGGACAGGGACTTGGTGCCTGCAGACGTATGGACCCTCGCCAGTGCCAGGGGAAAGCACAGGTACCACCCCCCCCATGGTGCAGCAGAGCCATGGGACCTCGCTTGAGTGTCCCTGGTCCCCACCTCAGTCCTCTCTTATTCCTGCTCCAGGTAATCGGGGACTTGATGCAGAGAATTCAGAGGGTACCCCAGTTCCCAGGCAAACTGCTCCTGGTGCGCAAGCAGCTGATGGGTCATACTCCTGGGGAGCAGTAAGTAACCGAGAGAAGTTCATGCCTGGGGAAGAGCCTTAGGTGGGAGGGCAGAGTGCTTCAGGGTGGGGAGGTGCCAGGCCTTGGTGCAGAGGGCCTGTTGTTGAGCTCTATCCTCACTCAGAGGTGTCTGCCACTGGGTTATGCACTGGGATGTCACACTGGGGGCACACCCGCTGCCTTTCAGCCATGACTCTGAGCTTTCCCCCTCAGGCTGGACCACCAGACCCTCCTCCAGGGAGTGGTAGTACTGGAGGAATTCTGCAAGGAGCTGGCTGCCATTGCTTTTGTCAAGTTCCCCCCACAGGGTCCTCACCTGCACCTCTCCCCATCCCCAGGAGGGCATGTCTGAGCCAGAAGCATGACGGGAGGGGAGGCTCCTGTCCTCACCTCTGCCCAGGAGCTGCCTCCCTCCCGCCTGGCTCAGCCACTGCCACTCTTCTCCTGGGGCAGGGGCCTGGCTCCGTCTCCTGTGTATCCAGGGACCTCTGCCTCTGTGGAGGCCTCCCAGGTTACCTCGGCTCCCAGGTTACCTCAAAGAGACCTTGCCTTGTTGGCTACACAGGGCTGGGCTTCAGGAAGTGGGACTCCAAGGTATATCAGAAGCCAAGGAGCAAAAGAGGTGGCCTCCTGGGCAGCATGTGTCCTCAGGGCCTTCTCCGGGGAGCTGGGTGATGGCCAGGTGAACATTGGAACCCAGACCCCCCAGGGTTCTGGGCCTGTCACCTGCCTCTATGGGCCATTTGTGGCCAGGGCTAAGACCTGTGACTCAGTCCTCGTGGGCACAAGGGGAAGTGAGCTGATGGCTCCAAGGGCTGGTCAGGACTGTAGGTCAGAAAGATGAGGGCATGGGAGCCCTGTCTCTGTGACACTAGGTACCATAGATTCTGCTAAGACTTGACTTTTCTTTTTTTCTCCTGCCTTCTTGACTTAACCCTGTGGAAGGGGCAGTGGAAGGCAGGGGTAGCCCGCTTTTCTTGCCTGGCTCTCCTGGAGACTGTTGCAAAATCCCCAACCGCCTCATGGCAAATGGCCAAAGCATGCTCCGCACCCAGGCGGGGGCAGCTGCTAATGAGAACCTTGATGCAACTCCACCAGGGCGGGAGAGGGCCTGGGGAACCGGGGGCTGGGTGCCAGGCTCCAGCTCCAGCTGGTTTCTCTCTGGCGCCTTCTGAACCCGTCTCAGCAGGTCCATAACACCTGGGCAGAGGGGCGCGAGACCAGGGGAGGCCAGGCCCAGCCCGCAGTGTTCTCAATGGAAAGCTCTTCCAGGGAAGCAAAGGAGCTCAGGGTATAGAGGAGGCCAGGATGCCCACTTGACTGCCGGCCCCCAAGGCCTGGCAGGGAGGGGCTGGGGTACAGGCAGCAGTCCTGGTATTCTTCTCCCTGCATGCCCTCTGAGGCTGGGGCTGCCACCCCACCCGGCCCGAATCTGTCTCGACCTGCAGGAACACACAGGCGGCGCCAGGCATTACCTCACAGCAGGACTGCAGTTGCTGGCTTTGCTCCTGGGCAAGGAGGAGCAGGCCAGAGCCCCTTTTGCTTCCTTTTCCTGCCCATGCCTCTTCAAGAAGCCAGCCACAGGTTGCCAAGAGGTGACATGAAAGAGGAGGAAACTCAGTGACCTCTACCTCTCCTACATTCCTCCAAGCTGGGGAGGACTGACCTGCTGTGCTGAAGGACACCGGGCGTGTGCGTGCGTGTGTGCGCGCACATGGGTGTTGATGTGGGAATGGGAGAAGGCTCAGTGGGCAAACTGGGTCTGGACTCTTTGATTTTGAAAATGATCACGCATCCAGGAGTCGAAACACTCCCCTCGTCGATGCACTCTGGTATTCACATGGTGTCTCCCCCAGACACCATGGCAATAAATGGTGTGGTTGCACGGACACAGGCGCCCTGTTCTCCACCCTTCGCGTCCTTCTGCTCAGGGCTCCACTGCTAATTTGGGCCCATCTTCCTCCCCAAGTAAGACAAATTAAGTTCCTTTTTCAGCACTGGAGCAGAGGGGGGTGGCAGTAAACAGACAGGCTCTGGCAGCGCAAATCTGACGTTCCTCAGCGCCTGCCAGCAACAGCCGCTCTTGGCCAGGCAACACTATTTCTGCTCAGCTTGCCCACAACTGAGGGCTGGCTAGCCTTGGAGACACCCTGAGGGAGTGGGCCATCTGCAGCGTGTGTGTGCAGCCTCAATTTAGGTGCTTAGGTTGTGAGTTGTAGGACTACTTTTGGGGTGAACAGTGGGCCTGCTAGTTTAAAAATCTCATTCCTAAATGTACATATGTGGATCCTCTGAGGAAGTCACCAAGAGTGCACCAGGGCAGGGCAAGCTGAAGACTCGAGAGGGCTGGTCAGTGGTTCTCCCCTCAGTGCATGTTAGAATTACTTAGGTGGTTTTTTAAAATACCAGTGCCCCAGCCCCACCCCTCTGTGAAATAAATCAGTATCTCTGGGGGTGGCCCAGAGTTGTTTTTAAAGCTCTTCCGGTGATTCTAATGGGTACCCAAGGTTGAAAACTACCAGAGGCTAAAGAATGGGAGCAAAGATCATTGCCATTTGACGTGGATATGGACTGGTGGGTTCCTCAGACACTGAGGTGAAAGGGTTTGGTTCCATCATTTGGAAGATACTTGTCCTCAGATGGACAGGAGGATTCCTACCACAACCCCAGAGGCCAGAAAGAAGGACAAGATGGCAGCCAAGAGGCAGGGCCGCAGCGGGGGAGGGCCTCTGAGGTGGCCCTGGTCATTCACTCCAGTGCCAGACTCTGGTTACTTCAGAAGGGAAGCCCAATCAAGTGTTTCCTGGCTCAGAGTCAGAGATCTGGACTTCAGATGTAGTGAGGCGCACACAATATATTTTCTTTGTTCATTTCTTTTGGTTTTCCTTTAAATTTTAGTAAAGTTCTTTAAACAATTCCTACCATGATTCAGCTGGACTAAGGGGAAATGAGGAAAAGATTTTGGTTTGGTTTGGGCTGGAGTTATAAAAAGGCAGAGGCAAGAGCCAGGGGCCCGGCAGAGTGACCGGGGAGGGATCAGCACAAGAAGGAAACCCAGGCAGGGGGCAGCTCTTGACTCCACGCCTGCCTGAAGTTTCCCTGGCATTCTCACTGCTCAAAACTTGGAGGGCAAGTGGTCACATCCTACCCTGGCAGGCAAGATGAAGAGGTTCTCAGTGCACCCAAGATAGGCCGCGGTGGACAGCAGGATGCCTGCCTGCCTCAAGCTCCCAGCACCCAGCAGGCTGCCCCCTGCAGTGTCAGCTTGCTGTCTGGGAAGGACTGGGTGGCTGTCGGCGGGACAAGGGGAAGAGCTTCTCTTCTGAGGGCAGTCTGCCCCTTCCTGCTCATTTCCTCCCCACAGACATTTAGGTGGGAAGGCTAAGTAAGGTGTGTGGGGGGGTATTTACTCAGCAAGGGACCTGTTCCCTTGAAGTGACCTCCCCAGTATGCCCTCCATATTCTAAGTGCCTGAGAATCTGGCACAGAAAATGAGAAGATGCTGTCTCAGGTTCAGAAAGTTCTCATACCCCTTAGGGAGCAGTGCCCTCATTGTGCCTCAGGGCAACTGAGTCCTTGAGTTCTGGACTCCTTGCTTGGTTAAAGGCACTGTCCCTTCTGGTGCAATGTAGGGACCTATTTCATGGTGAAGAGAGATGAAAGTCCCCCTGAGAAGCAGAACTGTCCTGCTCCCAACACAATGGGATCCCTGATTGCCAACCTCCTGCCTCCCTAAGAGGGAGGCGAAACCACAGTGGAGGGAGCACAGATGGCAGCTCCTTGTCCACTGATGGAATCTTCCTATCTGTTGACTGGGACAACAGATGATTCCTGAAGCCTCTGTAAGAGCTGGCTTTGTAGGTCTTCCTCCACCACCTTCCACCAAAAGTAGTTCTCACCCCGAACCTCTGGTGGCTCATTTTGGATACCTGGGTTCCGAAAAGCTACTGTCACCAGCACATTCAGGCAGATGCCATCTGTATGGTCTTTGCCCAGGTGCTGTAGTCCAAGCAACCCCTTGGTCTCCACTGCCAAGTGGTGCAAAGTCAGACATTCCTGTAGCAACCGCAAGACGGCCATCCTGATGCCACACTTCTGCTCCATGGGGGCAAAGCCACAGGCAGTGATGGGCAAGTGAGGCACCCCCACTGCACCCACCAACACCCACACCGTCTGGACACTGGTAAAGGTGGCCACGAGCCGCTGACAGACCAGACTGCAGGGAAGCTCTTGGGGCAGAATGAGAGGGTGCCTGGCCTGATGGCGGTACTGGGCAGCCAGCTCAATCAGGTGCAGAATGTCATGGGCTCGCAGAGGAGTGGGCAGGGAGGTTCGTGGGTACCAGCCAGCCTGCAGGGACTCTGCATCTGCCTCCTTGGAAGTCTTGAGAACTCCACCTGGGGGAGATGTAGGGGATGGGGTGAGGGAAAGGGTCTGTGTTGAGAGAAGTGCTAGGCCTGGCAGACTAAACAGCCACTGAGGCAATCTAACCCTGACACTCAGGCTGGAACCTGGAGATGCCAAGCTTGGACCAGCCAGAATAGGGGCTGCTCTCACCTGAGGATGAGCTGGGGGAAAGGTGTCAACGGCCCCCTACCCACACTGCCACCAGGTGTGCTGTACCTGTGGGGTGAGCAAGGAACACAAAGCGGATCCAGGAGGGACCCCGCTCCTCCACAGACAGCAATGTCAGAGGTTCACAGTGCAGCCCAGCCTCCTCCTTCACCTCCCGCTGCAGCGCCTCCACAATGGTCTCCCCAGGCTCCATTCTCCCCGCGGGCAGGTACCACGACCCACGGCACTCTTTCTTGGCCTCCTGGATCAGTAGCACCTCATCCTGAAGGGAGAGAAAATCCTCATCTCAACACAGCCAGGCTGGGAACTCCAAAGGAGAGGCACAGCCAGCAGCCTTCCCTTGTCCTGAGGCCGGATCATATCTTAAAAACAGTTATCCAGTACCCCTTACTAGTGGGCACCCTCAAACTGTTGAGCCCTCCTGGGGAACGGCCCTTGTGTGGCTGCCAGCTGCAGCTGTCCCTCTTTGCGTTTTACCCCTTTGCATTCAGACTTCCATTGCAGAAAGGAGCTAAGACTCCTGGGAGCGGCTTCAGGGGCTGGGGATCAGGCCAGACAGTGGGAGCTGCCGTGTGTCCTGCGCTGTCTGCATTTGTCACTGTATCTCTCCCCTCCCCTCTTGGTTTACAAACTGCTGTGGCCTGTCCTCACGCTGGAGTCTGAGGCTTTGAAACATGCCCCCACCCACACCCCATACAGCTCCTGCCTATGGCCTTGGCCCCTTCTAGCTGTTTGTCACAGCAACTTGTACTGAGATCAGCGCCAAAACGAGCATCACACAGGGGCGAGGCCTGAGTGTAGGCGCAGTTGTGCCATTGCTGCCCGTGGGACGCAGAGGAGGTCTCCGCAGCACTGACCAGATCTGGAAGAGAGCCCACTCTTCCGTGGCGGGCACTGCTAGCCAGACTCTGGGGAAGGGCGTTAAGCCCTCCCACGAGGAACGGAGGCCTAGCGGGACGAGACAAACGGGCTCCTGCACTGCGCTTTCTCCTCTGTACATCTGACAACCGCAGGGTTGGGCGCACAAGGCTCAGAAGTCAGGGTCACAGTGCTTTGCAAAACTGGGAAGCGCCACCCACAAAGAAGTGGTGGCTGCCGCCCGCAGGTCCTCGGTCCCCACGGGATGGGCTGCGCGCCGCGGGCCCGGCGGCCGCGGGCGGGCGCTCACCTGCTCGTTGAGGAACACGGCCAGCACCACGTAGCAGACGTTCCGCCGCAGCCGCGCGGGTGCCCGCAGCTCCCCGGCCGGCTCCGAGTCAC